GATGCGCGCCACCACCATGGCCGCAATCAATTAACAGGGTTCTGCTCTGTGAGACTCAATCAAAATATCCATGATATCCATGTCTACTCAAAGTGAAGGAATGTCTCGTGCAGATTGATTAAACCCGGCTATTTTCTCAACAACAGGTTCTAATTGCTCGCCTTTATTGAAATCGGCGGCTGAAGATGATCGTCTGATCGGCGGGTTTCTTGGCGGACATGACCGGGCTTAACTCCGAACTTCCCGCGGAATCAGATACGGAATCAGATACTTCGGGTTAGTTATTTCCCATCATTCTCACGCCTTTCTCCGTCTAACGCTGTCAATGTAGAACCGCCGGTGTCTATGACCGACCGCAGAAAAAAACCAGAATCCTTAACGCACAGCAGACAGTTCCCATAGGCTGCATGGGTCGTCAGTCGCGGAGGCGGCCACCGGCATGCTCGCTATGCCGGATCCGAAAGCTGCGGTGCAATCGCGGGTCTCCCTGCTCCAACTGCTCGATCCGTGGAATCCCTTGCAACGTCGATGGATCAGCTCCCATCCAAGGGATTGGGATTCAGGGCGCTAGTGAAGCTGCTGTGACGGGTGGGTTACAGGAAGCTCTCAATCGGAACCATTTGGCTCCCTCGTTGCTGCTGTCTTCTCAGCTCCAGCTTGTCACAGCAGACGTGCTCGGCATTGAGGATAACTGCTCGAGCCAGAAAGTATTAGTGAGTTTCTTCACGATGTCGATGCCTTGATGAGAGCATGGTTCTTGTTTCAACAAAGGCATCAAGTTATCATTACAGGCGCGGGATATTAATCGTTATCCACCTCTTGTAGGATTCATTAGCCCCTGCTCCTATCACGTTTCGTACTCGCTCTATCCGTGCCATCACTAGTCCGTCTTTCTTTGTCCTGGACCCTACAAACTCTCCTCCATTGACTGAAGATGTCAAAGTCAATAAGTGCATATGCCTGCCTCTGAGAGGAGACGCTCATGTCCTTTTGGACAAGTTTATCAGAGATGTCCTTCATTTTCATTACATATTCCATAAACCCTCTCTGCCCACTACGGTAGATCGATTCTATGACGCCGTGGAGCACGGCCGAGCTGTTGATATTGGTCAATTGATGATCATGCTGGCGATTTGCTGCAGTAGCACACACACGTGGACTCGATATGATGATAACAAGGGCCTCTTCAACCGCTCAGAAGACGCCAACTCACAGACTGCAGGTTGGCTTACGACGGCCCTCGACGTCATTCATCATGCCCATCTAGCAGCGCATGCGTCAATGGCATGTGTACAAGGCATTATTGTTGTGTTCTTCATGATATGCAGTCTGGAGGGCATTTCAGCTCGTGCCCGGCTGCTTCACGCCCAGGCAGTCGCAATGGCCCAGGAGATTGGGCTGCATTTTATTGACTCTCCAACCAACAATAGTCATTCTATCAAAATCAAAAAGTCCACTATTCAAGCTGAAATCGGCCGTAGGGTATGGTGGTATCTTACAGACACCGACTGGTGAGCCCTCTTTTATCTGTCGTTTTGGACGGTACTTACAGCATCACGGCAGGATGCTTTCCAGATTGTCGGTTCCTCAGCAAGGGGCATATACAATATTACCCAGCCAAATGGCAGTACGAAAGCCTTGCAATGCCAATGACGAAGACATCATCGAGGGTCAAGAGATTATTGACCGTCCACCAGAAGAGGCCACATCTGTGTCGTATCTTCTTCAACGAACTCGTCTTGCCGAGCTCTTCTATAGCCTCGGTGGCCACGAGAAGCCCATGAATTGGAATCCAGAAGAGGCAGACTACGGGAAAATAATGGAGGCAGATATGAAGCTGCGACAGTTTATGCGAGAACTGCCGTCATTCTTCCGCCTTGAAAAAAGCGGGAGCCTTTCCAAACTGCCACCGTCGGATATCCGGCGTTCATCTGACATTACGATCCAGCGATACATGCTCAACATGATATTTTACGGTCAAATCTGCAAATTGCACTTACCATATCTTGCCCAAGGAACAATAAATCCCGGCTTTGCGTATTCGCATGACTCTTGCTTGAAAGCGGCGCAGCGCATCATCTATATCGAGCACCGAATGAGAGCTGAAAACTCGACATTCGTTTTATTTCGCCAGCGTATGAACGTAAAGTTCCGCAGCATCTTCATTGCTTGCGTTGTGTTTGTGCTAGATGGGTGCTTAGCCAACAATCCCGAAGGTAGCACAACAGGAGGAGATGCGACAATGACTGACGCATGGAGGATTTTATACGAAGCAAAAGGACAGTCGCCATTAGCATCTGAATTGCTGCATCTCTCGGTTCAGATACTGCGAAAGTACAGAGCTTCACATCCGGCTCTCGAAGCTTTGAAAAGAGAGAATTGCAGAAGAGACCCCACGATTTTAGCCCAAAACGGCCCCGTGGATGTAGCAACAACAGAGAGCAGCAACATGGTGATCGATCGAGAGCCCAGAAGAGTAGATATTGACCCAGATACCATCGATCTGGATAAATTGTGGGAGACACTCCAAGGTCGTGGAAGGGATTGGAATAACCTCTTCTGGAGTCTAGGCCCTCCTCTGATATAGCCGACGGCTGGAACAGCTACGTTGAGAGAAACTTGCCAGCTGGCCAGTCTCTCTTACGAAGTGTGTCGACGATATCTATGACTGCTCTACAGCAAGTGAACAAACAAACAACTGGGAACCAAAGGGAAGAATGTATTGTCAGTGATTAGCCAATATTTCTTTCTCTAGCATTCGATTCTAATCGATGAGTGAGCTCCTGTCTATTACAGCTCAGACAACAATGCTCCGATAAAGCAGATCCAAGCCGGCACATCAGTCGTTAGCGTTCTCACTGTATGCAACTGGATCCAGCCAGCCATTTCGCCTTGTGCCAATTCCGGGTTGGAAAGAATCCGGTCCATAATCGCGAGCACCTGCTTTACTATGAGCCATCTTTACAGAAGAACATGTTGCCAAAAATCTTGTAACTTACAGAGTTTCCAAAACCGAAATGAATGAGCGTGAACACGAGACCAGCAATCGCCCATCGCGAGGCTGCCTTTGCTTTAGTCTGACCCTCTGCTAACCCCGACGTATCCCGAACAAGGGCCGATCGGATTCCTGAAGCAATGGTCACTGCACTGAGAGAAGTGATTCCGATGAAACCAGGCTTGAAAAAGTCCTTGAACCATACTGCAACCGCGGGCCCTGGGTATGCCACGTTTGCAAACGGGATCACTGTGATCCAAGCACCAAGCGCCATGCCGACATTAAGAGAAGTCGATATGACTGGAATCAGCGACCTCGGGGTCGTACGACTCGTGGAATGTGTCTTTGCCGTATTGGATGCCATTTTGCAAGGAAGAAGAGAGTCGTCTGGTAGTGTTATTGTTAGTGCTGATTTGTACGAGAGGCGATTTGGATAGCTGAGGGAGTAGCTTATTTATAGTCTTGAAGAAGTGGGAACGGCGTATAGAATACGTTTTAGTGAGATGCATTGATGAACTACCCGGCGACTAATGATTGGCTTTTTATGTATCTTACATATGCAAGATTACGGAGCTATTGACTCTTTTGAGGCTGAAGGCTGACAGACGATTCCCGCAAAAAGATGTAATTCTCGACTGCGACAATGTGTACAGTATGTAATGTGTTTTTGAGCCGTTTCTTCCGCACTCATGCATTTGAATGAAGGGGCGTCATATTACCGAATAGACTATTCTACTTAACACCATGTTAATCGATTTACCATATTTGATATCATTATTCCCGCCTGGATGAAATTGAAAGGCGGCGATTGATTCACTCGTTCAACGCAGACGTCGTTTTCCCATAAATTGCTGAGAGAATCTCTGTCACAAAAGAGTAATGCATGTCGCCAAGGATTATAAAGCAAGAGGCAAGACAATTGCTGTCTTTCCTGGCAGACCGCCATATATGTTGTGGAAACCTAGCACACTGCGAGTTACCCGGTATAATGAAGACGTACGTTTCGACTCTATTGCCGCCTAGAACATGTTCATTCTCGGTGAGTTGGAGAAGACAACCATCCATTGTAGTGCTCATTATCACAGAGAGTGATGGGCGATGATCCAAGTACTCTCGTTGGGCCATGGTGTTAAGAGGCAACCAATACTGGCACTCAGGCAACAATTCACTCTCCTAGGGCAATTGAAGGATATATCAAAGAGCAATTGGACAAAGAGATCCATAGACACTGACTACTAAGTAATAACTCACTAAAGGCGATATCAACGAACTCTCACATATCTTCAATTTCCCCAACTGAGCAGATCAGAATGGTGTGATGGTAAATTTGGAGGGTTGCATCCTTAATGTCGCCATCCCTAAAGTTACTGAACATCAGTCACACCGCATTTACACTAGGTTATTACACTTGCACAACAGCAGTGCCATGCGCTCTGATCTAGTGACAGACCAGAAAGAGACGGTATAGTTGAGTGAACCTGGAAACTAACCTTGGGGCAAACGAGACACCAGATGAGGTTTTTGATATGGTGTACTGTTTAAAGAAACGCAAACAAATCATCAACTAGTTTCGCAAACAGTTGATAAAGTGTTAATTGCAAACAGCGGCAATGGATAATGGCTATTGGGCGGCGTGTTTTTCACGGATATTAGATTTGCCGCATAGCCTACTTAGATAAACAACACACTCTAGATAAATGATTCCATATGCTACTCGTCGTATCATTAGGCAGAAGCACGCCAATGCATCTTGGCTTGGTGGAGAAGACGCCGTTGCTACACAACAAACCCATGATCAGCGTAATTGTGCCGAGTGCTTACGAATAGCCTACACCAATTTCCCCGCTCCGGGTAGCCAATTCAGCAAGAAGTTGAGGCCAGTCTACATATATGATAGACTGAGATTGAAGGCCGTATAAATACAGCAATGCGCCCTCTGACTGAATTGATACCGCTTCGATATCAGAATACGAACATCGCTGGATTCCGCCGCCCATGCTGAACGATGGCTAGTCGAGATACACTTCGGCAGCCCCTCACTCTTACGGATGAGGATCTCAATCTTACATTCCATGCGGCTTACACTGATACCGTCAATCCGTTCAAAGTTTCCGTAAAGCAGGCCTTCGTGGAGCAAACCAGACTCAAGGCTTCATTAACTCGCTTCATCGATACAGAGTTTCAGCCTCCCAACGACCAACCTGAGTATACCGATGGACCTCCCACTCACGCGGCCAAGACAATTGCTTCTCACTGGGCAAATGTATATGACTGGCGAGCTGTCGAGGATGATATCAACACTCAACTGACACAGTTTACAACAATTGTCCATACACCTCATACGGCATACAAAGAGCCCATTCCGCTTCACTTCGTGCATCATCGTTCACCTCGACCCGATGCTATACCACTCCTCTTTGTCCATGGATGGCCCGGCTCATTCCTCGAAGTCGCCGAAATAATTCATCTACTCACACATCCACCTGATGACTCTGTTCCAGCGTTCCATGTAGTGGCGCCGTCTATTCCTGGCTATGGCTTCTCGCCATCTCCGCGCGCACCTGGATTCGGATATCGCCAAGCTGGTGCTGCCTTCAACACCCTAATGCAGCATCATCTCGGATACAAACGTTATGTGGCACAAGGCGGAGATGCTGGAGATTTCATTATTAGATATGCGGCCGTGGATTTCCCCGACGCTGTTGTGTCCTTGCACTCCAACTTCTGGGTTGTTCCACCAACCGACGAGGATCTTAAGAAGCTGAAGGAAGAAAATTCCACATCTGAGGAGGTTGAAATAATTAGACGACTAGGCGGTTTCTCTAGCAAAAGCTGGGCCTATGGACAACTTCATCAAACACGGCCGTTGAGACTAGCCCATGCAATGACCGACTCGCCGGTGGGATTGGCCATGTGGATATACGATGTATTAGTTTCATGTGTCGAAGAGGAAAACGTCGCCAAGATCTGGACGCCGGATCGAGTCATTACATGGACCATGATGCACTGGATTCCCGGTCCTTATGCTGCGTTTTCACTTTACAAGCACGGTGCAGCGGATGGCGCCATATCTATGTCTGGAATTGAAAATCTTCCATACGTAAAGCAACCTGTGGCTATCAGCCAGTTTCCACACGATATCTGGTATCGTACTCCGTTGGAGTGGGCAAAGAGAAATGGTAATGTAAAGTGGAGTGCTGTACACGAAAAAGGAGGGCATTTTCCTGCATTGGAGACACCAGAAGTGCTGGCCGGAGATGTACGGCAATTCTTTGGTAATGCGGAGGAGAGTGGAACTGGAGTATTTAGATAAAAGGATACGTTGGAATAAGTGAATACTAGACAGGATAGACAAGCAACTAGACTAGTGATAAGACTAGCTATGTGCACCCTACATCTCCAAAGTTTTATATAGATGAAAAGGAGCCAGCGAGTTAGGCTATATGTACATTGAAACATACGAAGACTCTTTGGATATATATTATCCAGGATTCACATACACTTCGATTGAGAATGTAAAGAAGAAGAAAAGGAGAATGAGCAAACAAAACGACCTGGCGAAGTAATATTGGCGTTTGTTCAAGATTAGGATGACGATAGGCCGGGCGAAATAATCGACTTCTCATGCCACCGTTCTCTCATACTTCGTCTGCTAGGACACAGCACAGCGGCTTTGAAAGCTCGTCATCGAGAACACACCTGCTTCCCGTGTCAAGTGGATAGCCACTAAATGAGCAGCTGAGATCTGCCGCATGGAAAGCCAAACTTTGTCTGGAGCTGGATAATGAATTTGTCTCCACTGTCGTCAGCATGTATAATCTAGTATCGAGTAGATCAATCAGCACAGTTGAAGATGTACGATAGCCAGACGCCGTCTGCCGTTCAAGACCACCTAGCCTCTAATGCGGACGATATGTTCCTCCGGGTGGCCTTGGTTTGTCAGGAGCTCGAGAAGATCTCACGAAGCACTCAGGAGAATTGCTGATGAGACTTATATACCTAACTTTGCCTTCTATATGTCACATACGACCATAGGTAGAGGAAAATTCGGGGTCCCGTCTGCTCCCCCATAGACAAGCCTCTAACCGGCAGATTAGTAGTTGAGTGGGTGACCATCAGCGAACACCGGCTGTTGTATGTTTTTTGTCTTTCTTCTTTTTTTTTAATCTCTTGTGGCATATATGAATTAGTTCTCATGTGTCTTGATCTGGTGATATATAACCAAGTATGGAGGCTGTTGGAGTCATTTCCACCAGAGATTGATCCCTTCGTTGGCGCATGATGGAGCGATTCGATAGTCCCAAAAGTGCAGACGTCTGTAAACGCATCCTCACCATTGTGTTGGTCGTGTATTGGCCAATTGCCTTGGAGGAATTACTTTTCCTCGGGAAGGCATTGGGAAATTTCAAGCCGCATGATTTGGTAGATATTGTTGTATCATGTTGCTCTCTCCTGACTCTTCGAGTTGGGGCCATCTACTTTGTGCATCAGTCTGCCAAGGACCACTCGTGCAAATAAAGAAACCACGACATTCTTCCCCTCCGGCGACTAAGAGGCTCACCACAATATATCCTTGTGGTCGCTAGTCGCATTACACAAACTAAGATGTGACATATATCGCCTGTACGATCCCGGATTCTTGATCAACGATCTCGAGCAGCCAGTATTATATCCGTTGTCCTCCATACGGTACCATTGTGTCTACTGGGTTGACCACATTTGGGACGCGGGGCGTCGAAGGGAACTGGTTGATGACGGCCGAGTCCATGAATTCCTGAAATGTCATTTGCTTTCCTGGATCAAGGCTCCAAGTTGGTGTAGAGCAACATTCGACGCAATATTCCCAGTTGCAAAGATGGGAAGGCTCCCGATGGTGAATATTGTACTTCAACAATCTAATCAGCATTCTCCAACATACAACAGACTGTTTCTGGCGAATCTAGATTGTTATTCTTAACACTAGATGCGCATCGATTTCTTCTCTACAACGGACTCAGAATCAAGAGTATGCTATTATAAACATATGAATCAGCGCTTCTCTTCAGTTTGAATCCTTGCTTAACGCGGACGGTCTAAAAAAGGGGAGCCACAATGTGTTATCACAGGATCGACCGTAAATAAGCGCTCGAGACCATAAGTTCGAACGCTGGAGGGCCATCAATATTCGGTCAAATCAGTCGTTTTCTCGACCGATGGGCTGCTTTTCGTATTGGGATCGTTCGATAAGGCCATCAGGAAATGGGACGCCATTACGGGTGAGATCGTGCCACAGAGTCATTCATGCCTTAGACGCCGCCACGGGCAATGCCCAACAGAATATTGTCTTAGCTCCCGACAAAACCTGGATTAGATGGAATGGGCATAGACTGCTGTGGCTACCTCACGAATGTCGCCCTTCAATTCAAGGATCCATTTGCATGAGCCCTCTCACATGTAGCCCTTGGTCTCATTGGTTTGCTTTTCTCTCTCTCGCTCATTTCTTTCAGGTGGCCATCGTCTGCATTGTCCAGAATAATTGGTATTCTCAATCATTCCGTTATTGATTCCGGGTTCAAAGCCCTGATTGCGGTATGCTATTAAGTTGATGCACGCAGCTATTCTGGACGTATGGGCCGTAGGTGTGGGGTATGAGATATAACGTGCTAGACAACCATAGTCCGATGGCCCTCCTTGCTACGTCAAAGGTGTTGAACGGCTTATCTGCCGGTAGATAATATCTTGTATTGCCACCGCCAGGCTTTTGGGATGACTTGTTGTCAGTCGTTGATGGCATGGATAAAAGGTCTCAACAAATGAGGTGAAACAACAAGTCAGATTAAGATATTTAACTTGCGCGAGCCTTCAATAATGATTTCAAACTGTACCAGACGCAATTGGCCGACACACAGCTCCAGAGCTGGCTGTCACGGTAGGGCCAAGCGATAGGATTCGCTTCTCGGCAACACAGCGCAGCTTCTCCCAAAGACAAAGATTCACAGAAACGTCGACCGGTTTTACTCTTCAACGTGGGTCTTGAAGAGATTAAAACTATTGAAGACATGCTTAATAAACTGTGCTTTATCCTGAGAAAAGCCCAGGAGGAATCGTGGAGTGGAAGCCCCAGAACGGCGAAACCGAGTGCTAGCTCGACAGCAAGGATAACAATCTCTCTCCTTCGCGTTTCAAGCCTCAGGATATAAAAATGCGAGACATTCTTGGGAAGAGATATCAGAAAGCTGCTACCCAAGTAGAAAGGAGAAAGTGAGCGCTCTACAAAAAGGAGCAGTCTGAGTCTGTTGCGGCACAGCTGATAGATTCATCGGCCGTTTGGGGGATTCGTCGTACCCTAGAGCAAGCTGGATGAATCATCACTGGAGAGTTCCAAAGCCCTTGAGGAGAGTCTCAAGACATTCTTGGAGCTGTTGGATATTGGAAACATTATTACCGCTGGCAAGGACCTCCAAGCCGTCTTACGCTGACTGCAAAAGGGCACTATCATCTACAATACTCTTCCCAAATCCTAGAGAAAACATGTTTGCTCCCACCCTCGTCAAGTTGTCTTGGAGAAGGATTGTATTACCTGCGCTGTCTATACACAAAAAACTCAACGATCAAACCTTTTGAAGACAATTTCGTTCTTCATTCAACTTCAAATCTTGACTCGGACTTCTTAAACAGTAGTCAGAAGATGCGGCTGAGTGCCGCAACACAGCCGCAGAGAGCAATGCCTCTCTTCGACGTTATCGTATTCTAGAAAAGCCCATCAGACAACCGTCACCGTCACCCTCTCGCACCTCTCCCACCAGAGCGGCCTCTCATACGTCTCTGCTTTGGCCAGTCCTATCCGCTGATAACACCCAACCCTGTCCGAACTCTCAACCAGCACCATCATCCGACACTTTATCGACTGGGGACACCTGGTTATATAATTCGGGCAGCAGTTTGGATAGTTGCTGTGCCTAGTCGCGTATGGTTTGTCGCCAAGGACCAAGCAGAGCACAGCGGTGCGGCTTCCATTCCAGTCTCCGGACCCGCCATCGCTGATAAACTCGACATCGGGAATGGCGTTACCGTCGTTGTCAAAGAGTTTCCGTCCGTTTGACTCGCTCGCATCGAGCCACAGCTTGTTCAAGTGTCCGCGGATCACCAACTTGCCGCCAGTAACTGCTCCAAAGGGATTCCTGTCTGACACGGGCGTGGTCTTGCACGATATGACCTCGGCTCGGGCATAGTCGGTGTTGCCGCCGTCGTACTGAAGCTCACCTTTCATGGTGGCCCACGACCACGACGGTGCCCCTGATTTTGTGGCGTTGGGATTGGAAAGCCAATTCTCCCACATGAGATCGTGCACGAGGAAGCGTCCCCAGAGCCCGGCGTAGTACTCCGTCTTGAAATGGGCAGCAAAGGCCTGGGCGATGGCCGAGATAGCTGGCAGTCGGTCGCTTTCTTCAGTGAGCTGCCTCGTCGTGTACTTGTTTAGGATGAAGTGCCAGGTTGAGTAAGTGCCTCCACGGCTGTTGAACTCCTCCCCAACCCGTGGAGTTTCCGGAATGGCCAGGTCGTCGAGCTCCTTGAGACGAGTAAACGAGTAGCCGCAGAGCGAGGACCAAGCATCCCAGGGGCCATAGTCCCCACGGCGTCTTTCGCGAGCATCTCGGGAGGTAGCGTGAAAATCGGGCTGGTAGCCGTTCTGGCATTTCCAGACCATGTGCATATTGGTGAAGATGAGAAGCCGGGGGGTGAGCAGAGCCTCCTGGAGAGTCCAGCCCCGAGTGTTGATGGGCTGCTGGTGCGCGGCAACGCTGGCGAATGATGACGAGCTATCTGCAATGAGAACCGAACCCATTGTCTCCTCCTCTACCCGGAGGGGGTGATAGAAGGCCCCAATGCTGGGGTCGTGATAATTGGTCTGGAGGAATCCCTCGGTAGCGGCCGAGGCACTCGCCACCGAGATGGTGAACTGCGTCTTCTGGTAGATGCTCATCATCTTGGCCATCTCGGTCTGCTTATCTTCGTCGCTATCCTGGATGATGCAAAACGCATCGATCCAAATGTACCTCAGGCCCATGCTCCGCGTGACCTGAAGTGCGTCCTTGATTGTCTGGGGCAGCTGGTCGTACGGAAGTTCTTTTTGGTATTGGTTATACCGTTCACGAAGCGTTTTGAGGACTTGGTCTCCTCCCCAGCAGTAACTAAGGGCGCAATAGTGTCCTTTCTGCCCGCTGGTCTCACATAGACGTGCAGATTCGGGCTCGCCCAGAGGAGACACCTCAATGAGTCTTGTGGGCAAATCGGCCGGCGTATGTGCTGGACACTCGTGGTGGTTGGTGAGGCACTCGTCCATCCACCCGCGTGCCTCGTCAAAGCTCTCGGGAGACCCAAGGTCTTGGAGCAGCGCTTGTGAATGGACAACGGAGGCCGCTGGATCATCTGAGGAAACTTGAATAAATATGAACTCGATATAGCTAGGATATTGGCCTCAACTTACTCGGGGTGGCGTACATGCTCCATGACAGGTCGCCTCCGCTCCATTCAATCCCGCTCCGGCTCCAGATGTATAAAACGTTGTCGACCCAGTTGTAGCGGATGCTCAGCTTCAAGTCTTCATCAAGTGACGGATACCAAACTGGGCGCTGTTCATCTAAGAAGCGCTCCGTCCTATCCTCTGAATTGTCCGAGCCTCCTGAATTTTCTTCGTCCTGCTGATACTTGCGATCACGAGAAGCAACGGACTTGCAAAAGATGCAACCAAAGACAGCGGCATCCTCAAGCTCACGCCGAGTCCGGCAATACCGATATCCGCCACGCTCGTACCACATGTGATAGCGTGTGCTGTTGGGATCAGATCTGGCTTCATCCCGGTAGTCGGTGAAGAGCCGGGAGCACGGATCGCAAAGCTTGAGGCGCGGGAAATCCTGGGCCGTCTTCATCTTCAACGGCCTAGTACTCGAAGTATTGATGGATGTGCTTTCGATATGCCTCGCTGACTGATTCAAGAAAGGCACCGCAAAGAGGCGGATCTAATGGTTCAATAACTTATGTTTATACAGATAGACAATAGAAAATGGAGTTTACCCTGCAGATCAGATCAATCTTTGCAGGCTGAGCCATGCGCTGGTGTAGTTCGCGATGACATTGAGAAGATCGAAGCCGAATAATACGGCGCGGGGCGAGCCGCATTTATAGCGCCAAAGTGGGAAGAGCCTCATTCAAGCGCAATACCTTCTGCACCATGAAAGCGAAAGGAGATCATATACTAAATAAACATTCTGAGCATTGGTCTTTTTACGTCTAGCTCAGCCGGATTTCTCTTTCTTTCCCTTGCACTTTACATGCTATAACACCAAAATTGCCAGTGTCTTACAGACATTCTCGTTACTAGGCGCGTCAAGTATGGATATAGGTGCATACTAGTGATAAACAAGCACATACGACCATAGGTAGAGGAAAATTCGGGGTCCCGTCAAGCTCTTTTCTTGAATTTAATATCTTACATTTTTTGCTTCCCAAGACTCCAAATTTGGAGTCACAAGATTTCATTTTTGGAGGACAATGAACCCCGCGCTAAGAAATTAATTACTGTCAACATGAAGCTACCCAGAAGACGGCGCTTACACTGACCGTTTCATACATGGCGGCGGTTCCGACATCTGTGGTGTTAATGGGGCCCCTTTCCAAGACAAAAATATTATCACGCCTGCGTTGGCGAGTTTGTGCACGGTTGATTCGTCGGCATCTGATAGTTTGCGATGGACTGGATGCGCAGACCTCTGTGTGCTTGGTTCATGGTTGTGGATAGCACATTTGCTCTATGTACTAAGACGATGCGTAAGTTTCCAAGAAGCCTTATCAAGGCTCTCCTTCGCAAGGACGGAGAATTGGCATCCTGTACTCGTTGTTGTAGTGAGCCACTGTCTTACAATTAAGGCATCTGGAGTCTCAGTTGAAGACGACTTGTTGCCTGCCATTGGGTGTTTTCTGGATCGTTTAGTTTCGAATGCATAGCACAGCACCTATATGTGTTGGGTCCCCGCCTGGGCGCGCGAGGATGAATAGGCCTAGGTACATGTAGGTGTTGATGTCTGATTACCTAAATTCAAGCTAATTTGAGGGTGCTAACACTAAGGTAAGAGCAGAAAGAATGCTGGGATCGGAGAAAATCGTAAACTGGATCAAGAGTGGACTGGCACATGGTGGGGATCGGTTGGGGGTCCTGGCTGGTGCGTATTCCATGATACACTAAATCAAGGCCTCGTCTTACACCTTCATATCAGCAGTCGGGATACACGTTTTTAGCCATCTTCCGACCATCGAGTTGATACAAATGGGACATCTTAGTCGTGGATGTCTGCGCTGCCGGCAGCGCCGCGTCCGCTGCGATGAGGGGCGGCCGTCTTGCCAGCGCTGCATCCACCGCAACGAGATTTGTGAGGGATACCGAGATGAATCGTCTCGCATATTCCGCAACGAGACGGAAAAGGTGATTGAACACTCACGCGCAGTGCAAATGGCAACTCCGCCAAGTCACAGAGATTCCTCGCAATCTTCTCCTCGGAAACGAAGCAGATCCGCCAATTTGAGCTTAGCTTCTCGACCATCATCTTCTTTCTCATCGTCACTCGCCCCGGAGGAAGCTTCGGGCATCACGATACGCAATCCTCGGCCGTGGCTGAAGGAATCGCCAGCGCGATTCCAGCCGCCCCTCGAAGACCAGGCTGTAGACCAATTCATAGATAAATATGTCCTGTATCCTTGCAATCAGACGTCTTCTCCTGGCTTCCTGGAGCATTTGCCTTGCATGTTTAAAGAGGTCAACATCCAAGGCCGATACGCGCTTCGCTGGGCTGTGCAGGCGGCAGCATACGCAAATGCCATCTCACAAAACAAAGAGAGCGACGCGCTTGCAAGCAAGGCTCTGCAATGTTATGGCATGGCACTTGGGGCGCTTGGAGAGTCGCTCGCTGCATCAGGCAAAGAGCCGGATGATTATGATCTCATGACCGTGGTTGTGCTGGATATATTTGAGGTAGGCACACGCATACGATTTGCGATACATATACTTGCAGACTTTGCTGATGTTTGCAGACATTATATACTCCGAACGAAGTCAGCAAAGGATCGCACGTCCAAGGAATGGCGCAACTGCTTCGCCTACGTGGTAGTGATCTGGTCTACAACGCGCGAGGCTGGAGTCTCTTTCGACTTGCACACCATCGAATTGTAAGGCCTCAACACTGCTTCCTTGGTCGCTTTCGTTCGCTAACCCCGCGAAGCAAAAGCAGCGACTGGCATATCACATGTCGCAAATCCCCGAGACGTCAGACTTGCTCAAGGGGTTAAATGATAACGAGCCCTCGGTCCGCCTCGAGAAGAATGCCGACGACATCCTCGAGACATGTAAGCGGGCGCGGACCTTGTTAAGCCTTATTACTGCAGGTGGGCTACCGGCATCGACCGTTGTCGACATGATCAAGGAGTTGCATTCGTCGGACCAGGAAGCGGTCAGTTGGCGGCAGACATCACAGTGGTCTTTTACCAACATAGTCGTCGCGGAACGGCCAGATCTTTCTTCAGCAGCTCATGGCATCACAGAAACTATTCAGCTGCATCCGGATGTGTGGATGGCCTACGAGTGGAACTATCACAGGACAGCGCGCATCATCTTCCTACAACAAGTACTACAGTGCTCCACAGCCGCTCTGGAGGCCCCAGATCTAGAGGAGGTTGATGAGCAGACACTGAACACTACCATTGCAGAGTGCGTTTTGATGATTCAATGGCTGGCCGACGAGTTCCTCGCCACCGTTCCCCAGTCCCTTGGGAGTGTTGATCATATGGGTCGGCTTCATTCTAGCAACGATGGCCTGCCTCGGTGCCGCGCCATTGGCGGGTATCTGCTTCTATGGCCAACTCGTACTATCAAGGCGGAAACATCTGCGACAAGCATAGATCAGAAAGAGCGCGCGCAGAGGGTGTATGAGAGGATTCGCGAATGTACCGGAATGAAAGATCTTCTGGGCGACAAAAGCATCATATAATCTACCCAAGTCGATTCTATTTGAATACGGATGTACGCATGCTCAACTAGGTACAAACAAAGGCCAACCTCAAGCATGACCCGATATGCAACCATCTTCTGACATATCATCTCTTGACGGCAATCTCATCAAGCTCTGTCCCATCTGCCAACTTGACCTTCTCCGCACTTAGTGTCACAAAGCAAATCCGGCATATCTCATCCGTCCTATTAATCCACTGGTGGTTTACACCCCCTTGGATAAGGAACTCTCCCGCCTTGACAGTTCTCTCCTCCCCGCTATCGAGCTTCATGACGATCTCGCCGCTAACCACGACGCCGTAGTCTAGGCTCAGCGTCCGGTGCATCGGCACGGTGAAGTGAGGCGCGATGTTGCTGATGCAGAATATGGCGCCGTTTGGCGGACAGCGTGGGATCATGTTTGGGTAGCTTTGTGCAGGCTCCGAGTTGTTGATGGGCACCGAGTTGCGCACGTCGAATACGGCAAACGATGAGCCCGTCGGTCCCATGGGATGGAACAATGGGACTTCACCGTCGGAACCAAAAATGGCGGTTCCTGTTGCGTCGTGCGTCGTGGTGACGATGCGAGGGTTGGAGTTGGGGGATGACATGGCGAAAATGCTGGTTGAAGGGCTTGAAGGGGTTGAAAGTGGGCGTATAATGACGGCTCTTGAACCAACTTTCAAGAATATTTAGATGGCAATGATATCACAGGATCAAACATTGATGTACCGAGATTGAGTAGCGGCTGGCTTGCTGGGGTCGCGGAGAGAACTGGTGCTGAACCAAAAATACTTGTCTTGTAGGGAATTCAGCTCACTTATATAGACGACATATCTCTCCATCATGCCAAACCCCGCGTGTTCTCTAGTCTATCGACAGTAAACCTCGAAAGTAAAGCTCGCGGCCGTGTTCGCAGTCCCTTCTGGATATGGCAGCTTGGACGAGATTAGACGGTGTAGCGTCCAAAGCTCGCGCCGCTAACCGCAGGCGGAAAGTTGGACGAAGGATCGAAGGACGGGCGAAGGATGCACTAGCGTTCCAAGTGCCTTTGCAACTTACAGAAAGATAATCAGTTTAGAACCTCTGTTTTGTTGTCCTTTATACCTCCGATATGTAATGCCTTGGATGATGATGGACAGGATACGAAAGGCGACACAACCTGTCAACATCATCTGACAGTTCCGTCCCAGCGACAGGTCAGTGCAACAATTTAAGGGATACGTCATCAAGCGTCTTGTCTAGGTATGTAGTGTAACAAGCACTATTAAAGCAAGCTAACTAATAAAAAAGGATGGCTAATAATATTCTTTTGGAGTCTCTAGTAGCAATCTCCAAATTATGGCAAGTTTTCAAGGACCCGGTGAGGAATGCTTACTGCTCCTCGACCGTCCTTGTTTGAATCAATTCGTCTGGTTCAACCCCTTCCTTGAACACACAATGCGGCTTTGGGACCAAAATCAGGCTTGTTAATTCACCACTATCTCGTAAGATATCTCAAGTCCCAGTTCGCCTTATTTGTCTCGGAATCATATTCCTTGCCCGCCCATGGATTTCCACAAACGTGCAAATCCGCATAGGGCGTCCCGTCAAACATGACCCAAGCCCCTTCATCGCGGACCGTGTTTGGCAACCCATACCGTTTTGAGTCAAAAGGCCAAATGATCATGCAGTGTGGTCCAATGCAATCGCCGGGCTCGTGACATCCGATACACTGACACTGCTGTGTTGATTTGCACCACACATCATGTAGATAATTCCTGGTGCAGTATTTGTTGGCTTTTCTTTGCCAGCATAAGCATCTTTGATCCACTGGAGGCCTTGAGCGTCACAGGCCATTGGCACGTTCACAACGTGATTTTCGTTGCCCGGAAAGCACGTCCACCCATTCGTGCCTTCGTGAATGACTTTGACCTCACGATCGTGAGTCCATTCCGCAACGGTAGCGTCCTTGGTAACCTGGATGGGGCCAGATGCGAGGGCTCTGTTGATCTTGCAAGAAAAGGCTTCCTCTTGTTCGCTCAGACGAGCATTGGGCTTTGCCGGATCTGGTACACAGCACTGAAAGGCACTGGCATATACATGTGATGCCATATTGGAAGGTGACGCATATATAATCTATGCTTGGGTACCTGCATAAGGTACTCAATGTGTCTTTAGAGTACATTCCATGAATATGTACTCACTGGTAATCTTTCCTAGCCCTTTTAATGACAGTTTCAATAGCTGGAGTTATGACACAATGGCGGCCAAGGCAGTCAAGAGACAGCAGCCAGTGGACCCGAATGTCAAATAAGGGCAACTCAGAGCCGTCATGATGGCAAGATCACCCTTGCAAGCTCTCAAAAAGGTACTTGTACGGGCTTGCGTATAGACCGTGGCTCTTGTCGTGTGCACAACAAACGACGTCGAATCGAAGCTAGCGGAGAAAGCTCAGCTCGCCACTGACCTCAAGAGACAAGGAATCGACATCGTGTCGCCATTCTCGCATGCTAAGCTGCCCCCGACGGCTTCTGCCCAGTCTTATGTCTCCCATTATGGTAATCAGGGCTCTTTTCTTGGGGCGATAGAATTTGCTGCCATGTTTTGGAGCTCCATTTTCTAGAATGTAGTTGTTAACCGGGTTGATCCGGGGGTGGCCGCGGCTTTTGCTACTGCTGAAGCTCTCCCAACAGCTACAAGTGTACCTATTGATGTCTACCACTTATCCTCATGCTACGGAAAAAAGCTAGCGCGGCAGCATTTTCCTCTATTGTTGGTCAATTATTGCATTCTTGTCTGCATTCTTCACCGGCGGCGCTTTGCTGCTTCTGTTCGTAATTCTGGGTGTAGGAACCAGCACCCTTCTTGTTGATGTCCTGGTTTGTGGCAATTTGAGCAGGTCTCTCTGGAGCGCATAGAAATGACACCGAGGTTTGCTTGTCGTGATTTATGTATCGATTCATGTAGCCGAGCGGCTTCGACTACCTCACCGAAGGTGACGCCGCGTTTGATAATCTTGCCATCCTTGTATTTGGGAATCAAGCTGTGGTTCACATTAAAAATGACGAGGAAGGTTTCGTAATTTCCGCCAAGGCCTGTGAGGAACCTGTTTATAAAGTGTGCTTCGCCAATCCTGCAACTTTCGTCTAGTTGCTCAATTTTTGCTCGTACTGTTAGGAGTTTTTCAACGTATTCCGCTACGTTGGTACAGCCCTCGAGTGTCAAGCTTTCATATTCGTGGGAAAGAACACGGAAGGCTATGGTTTTATAGCCTTGAAACCACATGTCGAGCGCGTCCACTATTTCCAATACGGTCGTCATGCCTTTCACACGATGAAGGTGTAGATTACCAAGGCTGCTGCGGACGATGGCGACGGCTTGTCTTTGGCAGTCTTCCCAAGCTTCGAGTCTTGCGTCGAAGGCGCTTTGCCAGTCACTGTCCTTTCTAGGCGGCTTTGTGTCTCTTTTCAAGAGGAGTTCCAAGCCTTGGGACATGAGTGCGGTCGTGACGTCTTGCTTCCACATGAACCAATCACTCCACTCCTCAAGCGTCCTGATGTCCATGGCGCTGGCTGAGTATCGCTTCTACTTGTTAATTATCCAGTGGGCTCAGCAGGTTGGTGCAGTTGGTGTCTAAGACCGCAATCTCAGTTATCAAGGGGCAGACAAATTGGTTGGTTTGCAGCTGGGCTCATATCTTGTAGATGTGATGGGTATGAGCCATTAGGAGAGTGGCGCCTGGATTAGGGCTGGCCCATGTCGTATTCGTTGGAGATGAGCCAATGGGAGAGCGGCATCCCAAAAAAGTAAGGTGCCAACAATCTCTCCATGAGCTCACCTTTCTGAAAGCTCATATTCAGTTGGTATCCGCAACTGCAGGAGCCTACTTTGCCAATAATTCTCTTCATAAAAGGTACCAAGCTGTGTGTGTATTTGATTATTTTTCTAAGAATCTTCTCTATGCCAATGATATGCAGATAACTGTAATTGTATTTGTAGTTGAAGTGGGAGAAGAGTTACAACCCTTATTCTCAAAAAGTTTCCCCAGATAGGGCTGCTTCCCCGTTATTCATAACAAGCCAAGAATATCGCCTACTCTAGCAATCTAATTAGAGAAGGGTACTTCAATGTTACTTATCTCTTTTGTGGAACCACTCGAAGAAGCTCTTCTGATCCACACCCCATGACCTGAGAACCTAAGTCCATGCCTGTGGCACAAATCTGACCACTTAGTAATTATTCGGGTCAGAAATAATAAGTCAGATCTTGATGCCGACCTAGTAGAAAGATGAATTGCATTCGTTCTGTTGAATTGACTACATTAACAACTTTTCGCCCCAACTCCCAGTTGGGTAACAATCGCGAGTGGCCTCGAGTTGTCGTCCAATGATGTGATACCACTAGCCTGATGAAACGAACGGAGTATCTTTCCGTATTCCAATCGTATAATCTATGATCATTTTGAAATGGGATGGGCCTTCAATATCTCTGAGGAATCGTAGAAAAGGTTTCGGCTCGAACAATATCCGATTTATTCCATGGATTCTGCTGCGGTTCGGGCCAATTTAGGGACGGCATATCAAGCATACCCTTAGGCTCAATAGGCGGGCCCAAAATGTATCCTTACTGCTATTTGCTGTCAAATTTGAAGTCACACCTGACCAATATCTGAAGATCTCTACAAGTCTGAGACTCTCTGGTTTCTAAATCACAGTACGAAATGCTACTACGCAGATCAAGGCTATCTATTAGTTACATTAGAATCCTCTAAATAAATCAAAGCCATCTCACTAGATTAATGTCGTTGAGATTGAATACAAAAACAAAAGACCGCTGTATTGCAGAGTGGTATATTTTACCGCACATACTTAGACTTGCAGGCTCCATCGTTCGGTTATGTCCGTTAAGTCCAGAGATAGGCTTCATCAGCTGTCCTTTGATTTCAAATGCACCCTCTATGTTCGGAATTCAGAATAATTTATGAATCATATTAGATCGGCGGAGCTATATACGATACATATAATGCAGAAAGTTACCAGGTTGTTGGTATATGACCAAACAAGCGAGCTGAGCATGTGACGATGATATAAATGAGGAGGATGCGATCAAAGAAGTAAGTAGTATGCTTGCGGTGCATTTTCTATACATCTCTCTCTTTTGAATAGTTACCTGTTGTAGGTTACTTTAGCTCAATTTCCGGTGGCCTTTCTACCAAGAATTAAAAGAGGAGTATATTTTTCATTCCCTCATAAAAAGAAATTCGCCGCCGCGCCGTATTAACACATGTGTATAGCAAATTTTATCTACTGCAGTAATTGAGCATGCTCTATCGGTGTCTAAGAAATTCCCAGAGCCGATACGGGCGCGAGAGCGGACTAGAGCACTTGTCAGGCGATGCGTAACTTTGGGTCTTGTTATCAAGATGTTGCCCTCTCCAATAAAGTAGAATAAATAGTCAGTTCATTTCTGAATAACTAAAAAAAATTGAGTAACTGGCTCTACACTGCAATATTCTCCAATCGCAATCCCTTTCTCTTGCACTAGCCTGACTCTTTCTCTGCTATCGGCCCTACTTGTACGGGCGCATCCTTTGCATCTTTGACCAGGCCAGTGCTCTGAAAGACCTGAGCAAGAATATAGACACGCTTCCAGGTCACTGCAGCATCTCGGAGATCCTCTATTTGAAATTCGAAGCTCTTGATGTTCTCATCGCCGAGATCGCTCGTCGTGTACTCGAGTTTTTCCTTGATATCCTGGAACATAACTTGAAGACTATTAAATGTCTCTGTAGAACGAATTTAGCTTTTGCGTGGGCAGAGCGTATGGATATTGAACTCTGAAGAAGAGACTTACTCTGCATCTTGTCCACTGATGCGATGGCGTTGTTGATAGTATCTGTCACGCCTTGGACCTCACTCATCAGCGAATCGAGCTGATCTATAGTTAAGTACAAGTCAGTGTCCGAATTACCATCAAGCAAAGTTACCATAGGCGTGTACTTACGAGAAGCTGCGGTGATAGACTCTATGGCATTGTCTCCCTTCTTCTTCGCCAGCTCATATCTGTCGTTCAGTTCTCGAAGACTGTTGATCAAACCTTTGTGTTTGACAATGTCGATGATCAAGATGATCGTGCCCACTACTGGGATAAAGTCTTTTCTATAATATTAGCAACTTGAAACCAGTAGCATCTGCAACAAATGCGGCTCGATTCTTTTTGTGTAGATTCAATGGATACTTACGGTACCACTTTGCCTTGCCTTGCTCTCGAGCCTTTCGCACCTCATCATCAAGCATGTTCTTTGCTTCGTCAACGAGGCGCCTTGCATCGTCGAGCAGCTTCTGGACCTTGCTTTTCTTAGCCTCATCATTAGGTATGATCTTCTTGAGGCGTCTAGATATTTCAGTAATATCTTTAAGATCTTGGGTTTCCGTGGCGACTTTGAACTAAACTCATGCATTAGACCGTATTTATATTCGCAGTCCCCATTGGGTGCCTCAGCCTTCCAGGGGCACTCTTTTATTCCACTTACCACAGTGAGCTTGTCGAACATCTCCTTACACTCAACTTCAACCTTTTTGGCATGGTTAGTTAGGCGATCGAGTGTCTTTTCCGCATCGTATTTTGCTGCGTCAAACTGAGCAACTCCCTTGACCATTCCTGGCTGACCCATGACTTCAAGATTCTTGACAAGCCTATCCATAAATCTTCCAGAGTCCTTGGCAAAGTTACCGATGAGACCTCCAAGAGTGATCATAGGCTCAATAGTCTTGATCTGAAAGTCGTTGGCTCTCTTGTGCATCCTAGGCAGGACTTCCTTCATGAACTAAAAACACGGACCCAGAGTCAATAACCTGTCTATAATACTTGCGGGGTGAACGTTGCTAGTTTACATTGTAGAGAGTGTCATCCTCTGCGAAGAACTTTTTCAAGTTCTCGCGAGAGTATTCGGCCTCAAACAGCGATTCGGTGGATGGAAGTGCTGTGCAGGCACGAATATACTTCTGAAGATTGATGAAATCATCAGAGTTCAAGATAAAAGTTACTGCGGGGTCGCTGGGATCCAACTTCTCCACACTCTCTTGGGGGGCACCACCAAGGAGGAAGATCTTGGCAGCATCATTGGGACCCTTGAGCTGTTCATCTTGCAACGTTTCAGTGGTAGTTATAGACATGGTGACAATGGGAAGCAGTGATAAAGTGGTATAGATCAGTCAGGGTTCTATGAGTATCGTGGGCTCTGTTGCTTTGTTCAAATCGAAAATATTGTGTCGTATAATATACTTTATATAGCTCTCAGAAGAGCTGTTTTTCGTAAAAAGATGACATGTCTTCTGTTGAGTAGACTATACATCATATATGATCATACAGGCGGAAGAGATCAATAGTCGAACGGCAAGTTTCTCCGAAAGTGGCCAATCTTCTAGGGTCCTGCATATACTATTGAAGACTATGCCGCTTCAGCTGCAATGTGCCGTCTCCTGCGCATTCGGTAAACATGAACTACTGGCTATAGTGTATATCTTGGCTTTTTTGAGATGCAACAAACGAATTTATTGGCCTCAGTGGCTGGCTGGCTTTTTGGGTTATTGAGTGGATCGACGCGGGCCGCTCCCTTGGCCGTAGCTGAAAGTGGACTGGACTCGTGAGATATGTCGGCCTAGTTGTACAACTAGCGGTGCGATGCCGCTTAATCCATGTCAAATATTGCGTATAAGAAAAAACTAAACGAGCTCTGGGCCTGGATAGATCTCATGCAGCCGCCGGACCAATATTTTCAGCTGAGCTTTAGGAACAATATGCCTTGGCTCCGCCTTTTTTGACCAATTGTTGGTTGCCAAATGTGGAGCCATTGAGGTCTTCGTTATCCCGTTATGGACGAGATATTGCCCCTACGAATGTCACAGGCTCTGGTTTATGCTAACTTGTGTCATAAAAGGCTGAAATGCTCCGCGTATCTACAATGCTCGCAACATGACATAGTAGTTTGCACTCTATTCTCTACAATCATTGCTATTCTTTTTGGCATACTTCAACATGGATATCGAGAATGCAGCCACCTTTGCTTTCGAGAGCTTGACGCTCCAAGAGAAGACGCTGGCACAAGAGATCATACGCTTCCAGTACTACGATATCACAAAATTCAATGTAAGTAAAGATCAAATCTTATAACGCTCTCACTGCTACATCCAGCAAGTTTGCGTATCCATCATGAATACCCAGGTATTGACCTATATTGCTAGGGATACTACAGAGCACCGGTCCTCTACATGGACCAAGTTCTGCAGCATCTCGCCGCTGCCAGTAAGGGTCAGACAACTCCTCCACGACGCATATCGCTCTATTGCGACACTCTCATCATCGCCGAGACAATCCCTATCATGGGCAAAAATACTTTCTTTTGCAACATAACCGCGCGTCAGATTCTGTTCTCGGCAGCGGAATCTGGCCCTGCAATTCGGATGCGCTTGAACCGAGGTTCACGCCTGTTGATCAATGCTCAAATCTTGCCTGAGCACTTCCGCGTCGAGTTTGTTGGGGATATGGACCAGAAGGATCAGAAGACCGTGTCCATTCCCGATGGCGCGTTCGGTATCTCGTATACCTCAAGCGGCACGGGAATAGCAGGAATAAAAGAGGAGGTGATGCCCACTGGGCCTGAGATGGAAATGCAATGTGAGAATTGGATGAATCTCATCAATGAGGATGGTTCACTCAAAAGCATTCCTTTTACCACGGAGTAAGTGACCTTTTCATGTCCCCTGTTCTCACTTGCATTCAGCCATTAACATTGACTTTTCTCTAGCAATTTTCCGCGTCTACTGAATTTTCAGTATCTCATGGCTGCTGCAATGGTTTATGAGAACCCCAAACTATCATTGTCAATTTTGAACTGGATTTGTGCGGCTACAAAAACAGTCGGGGGCTCTCTCTTGGGCAGCCAAGCCCAATCACTCCGCAACAGCATCGCGTCGGATGACAGTTCTGGCATGATCTCCAGCGTGCCCTCCCTCAACATTTATGCCTCCAAGCAGATTCTCAAGTCTCGCCTCTTGGCCGCAAAGGCATTTGAGGATAGCTTTCGGGAGTATACGTCTGAGGAGCGGAGCGCGACAAGCTGGGTCTACCTGGCTGCTGATCTCCTCCGGAAGAGCGATATGGCCCTGGAAGAATACGGCTTCCTTTCCGGTCTGGCGCAGAAGCGCTATGATGAAGCTGTGCAGGCGCATTCATACGCTGAGAAGCAATTTCAGAAGACGCAAAAGCAAGTAAACGAAGCCAGCAAGCAGTTCGAAGGAGACGTGATCAGCTGGGAGAAGGATCAGAAGATTGCAGCAGCTAAAGGTATCTTGATGGGCCTCATCGAAGTAGGTGTAGCCATAGCAGCTACTGTTGCTACTGCAGGTGCGGCTGCTCCAGCAGTTGCAGTTGCGGGAGCCAGTCTTGTTGGAACTGCCTCCAAGGCTGCTCAGGCTATTGCGAAGATCAAGGAGATTGTTGCCAAGATCAAGGAGATATATGAAAAGCTCGAACCAATCCTTGCAAAACTTGGTGAGCTCCTCACCGCTATCAAGGCAATGTTTGCTGCTATCGAGACTGCTCAGGCAGCCCTCGATCTTCCCAACGCGCTCAAGGAAGGGGACATGAACCTCGATGCTCTCAACGCAACGGCGCAGTGGGATATCTTTGATATTCAGGTTGGCCTGCTGGAGAGCCAGTTTCAGAACCTGGGGATTCCAAACCAGGATAAGTATCTGTTTGCGCTGCGCTCGCTTGTCGTCCACGGCAAGACATATCTGCAATCTCGGGTCAATGTCGTCGTTCGCGGTGACGAGCTGGCTACGGTACGATTGCGCCTCCGGCAGCAAACGCAGAGCCGCCCGGCTATCGAGGCCATGATAAAACGATTTACGGAGAACAATGAACTAGTCAGCGTGCTCAAAATGGCAATGTTTGACCGTCTTCTCTCCGTCAGAGCTCTTGTTTACGTTGACTTCAACTCGTACGTCAACGCTTACAACTACCACACACTTGATCCGCACCCTCCTGTCAAGTTGTCTCCCGTCAAGCCAGTCGTAGATTATTTTGCAGATGCCGCACGTCTCCAGAGCGCCATTTCGGCATTCGGCTCCAAGGCATCAATACAACGAAAGTCGTTCGTGCTTGGCCACGAGGCTTTGGGCATGAATCTGTCTGGCGTGGCTCAAGAATTGGGGCAGGATGGCCGGTTTCAATTTTCCATTCCCGCCACGCACCCAACCTTTGACGGCTTCTTCCGGGTTAGACTTATGCGTGTGCGTGTCCATCTGCATGGAATCAAGACCACGGCTAGCAGCAGGTGTCTTCGTCTCGCTCTGCAGACCACTGGCCGCTTCATGGATCTTGCACCTCCGCGTGACAAGCCCACGGCGTCGGCGACGTACTCGTTTACCGGAGATGCCCGTACGATTCTTTACGAGGTTGATCCATCTCGCGGCGATCAAATCACCTGTGACGGTGACAGCGGCCTGGCTCAGGATTATACGGCACAGACTCCTTTTACGAACTGGACGGTCAGCCTGGCAAGAGGAGGATTGTCCACTGATGAGATAGACACAAGCAGCCTAACCGGAGTAGAAGTAGAATTGTTTTGTGATGTGAGTTATAAATATGAGTAGACACGAAGTATAGGCAGCGGTATAGGTCAGGCAGTTTTAACCCCTGATTTGATTAGTTTGTGGAGCCGTATGAATTGAACCAGGTCATGAATAATCGTATTCCTATAACTGTGATTAAATTTATCAATATTTCAATCCTCGGATTATATCAAGAGTTGTCTCTACTCCTAATTATTTGAAACGAACTATCCCATTACCCAACGATTCTTGAGTTAGAACAGGATCACATCGTGAAAATTTGTGGCGGCCAGCACCAACGGCCAGATCCTCGCGTATTTCCCCCGTCTGCAGCCATATGCAGCGTATAGATAGTTTAAAATATTGCGTGTCAATAGTCTGATCTTTCAGCTTGTGCCTAGTACCACATGCATTTGGACTATTGTGAGTAGACGGGGCTGCCGCCCGATCTTGATTTCGAGACTTTGCCACTCACCCCTGGTTTAATCCAGGTATAAAGCTCGTCTTTCTGTTTGCATCTCTTCGACATTATCTTCATTATTTCCCCAACGTTTAGCAATCAAGTATTCATCTATCACACAGAGGTATTCGTCCGCATCCTGAAACATGGACACTGTACTACAAATTCCAAATACGGGATCATTCCTTCTCAAGGATGCCGAAAACGGGACCATGAGCATCCAACTTAATCCTAGGTCCTTCACTATTCTTAGACAGGCCATAATTGACGGTACTAGCCTTCCTGGAAACTCACCAGATTTTGAGAATCGGTTCAATCGAGGGGCGCTTCAGATCTTTCTTGAGAGGGATCCAGCCGTGTACGATGTAAGCAGAATCGTCACGATTAGTTGCTGTGCGTTCTCCCAATTTAACATTACGCTTCACAGTTCGCTCTTGAAGTCTTTGTTACGATACACCAAAATTGTAATGAGTTCAAACAGGTCGCTCTTCACGACTTGCCACAAATTGGCGAGTACACACCTAAGCATGGTTTCTTGGGTCACGACTTATTAACCAGGCGTAGGCGAGCATCTTGTTTTAGTTGCGGAGTCGGCAATAAAACTTCTTGAAGTTCGCCTAGATGCGCTAGCCCAGGATGGCACCCAGGATCCAAGAAGTGCCCTGGTAGAGCTACTTGATCGGCTTGAAGACTTGAGCCGAGACGCGAGTAATCTTTCGGAACAGAGCGCTACAATGAACCGGCATATCCAAGAAGTGAGTGCATCTCCTCCGATCATTGTGCGCTAGCGGTGTCAAACTCAGCTAGCAACTTGAAAGATGGAAGAGTCAGGCAAGTAGATGAATGCGTGTGCTAAAAGCCTCCCAGTTCAAAGTCAACACAAGCGGAAACTATGGAGAGGTCAAACGGCTCACTAAACACTGGGAAAGAGCCAAAATGTCAGACGAAGAGTGGCACATGAGAGTTGGGGCGAAAATTAAGGAAATGGAGAATGAAATGGCAGCTCTAGATCAGAAAGCCACTGACTTGGACCGTCAGTATAAAACAGCCCCTTCAGAAGACACACCTGTCTGGAGCTGTAAGATGATAAAGAAAACCCATATCCAAGGAGCGATAGCTAACTCAAATCGCATTACAGTTATGAAAGGCATAAACGATGCCTTAGCAAGCACATTCAACATCAAAAACGATATCCTCCGCAGTCGAGAAATGCTTGAGAGGGATCTTAAAAACTTGGAAAGAAGATATCACGAGCTCTCCGATGAAAGCAAACAACAGGAGCAAAAGTTTTCCGAAGCAGACGGTAAAGTTCTTCCCATTCGTCCAATAAGCGGTTCATTCCCTGAAGCTGACGAAAACGGTTCTATTAGGGAGCATCAAAACACTCCAAAACAGTATGCACGATCTTTGCGATCATTCCCTAGAGGTTGCAACGGCTATTGAGGATGTCAACAGTGAGTAATAATACTATAAAGCTGCATATACGTTATACAAGAACTTTCCTCCTCGTCTAGTTTAGAGTAGCTAACGATATAATCTGCAGAGGCCGCATCCAGACTTGTAACAGACAACGAGTACCTATCGCAAAAGCTACAGTACCTCCATGATGACATTGAGGACGACTCTAAGCTTGAAAAAAAGCTAGGTAAGGTGTTGAACTCGAAAAGGGAGGAAATCACCGAATGTCACAGTATGTGGATAGAGGTGCGGAGGGCAGGAGAGAAGTTCAGAAACGGTGTATAGTATAATGCTGGCTTTACAGGTTCTTTTTGATATCACAATTCATATCTGAATTTAGACTTTGTCATTACGCTCATATGATATATGGCCTTTTTACCCCATGGATGCATGCGCTTGGTACGCTAAACAATTTCTGACGTGATCAGGGATGAGACACCGCTGACATCTCACAACTCAGGTACTTGCGTAGCGATTCATATAAGGCGACAGATATGATAGTTCGATATGTAATGCGCCATAAACCATTTTAGCTATTTGGTCGCTCTATTAAATAATGTGACGCTGGTATGAAAAACTTTCTCACCTAGTTTATCCAAGTATAATCTCAGAAAGAGTCAGATGAAATACTTCGTTCGCTTGTTTGCCGCTTCTGAGCTATTCGTACATAAGTGAATGTAGAAGAATAAGACATAAGCTAAGCTATACTAAGGTGTATGTGATTAATCTTATTACCATGAGTGAACTTTGTAATAAAGCATGCCACAATCTCTTACTATCGTGAGTACAAAGTATGGGTGCTTCGTATGCATGTTGGATCTTGTCTTCAGAAAAGCATTCATCTTAGCAAAAGTCCCATGCCATCGGCTGGCAAAAGTAAACAGCGCTAATACTAAGCCAGCAAAAAGCTTCCTTGCACTCAACTAGCGTATGGAACCCCGTGAGGAACCAACATCAACAGCCCGTCTTGGTCCGCTTTTTATGCATGAACTAGTGGGAGTAATTTCAGCCAAGCTAGAAAATAAGCGTATTTATATGCCCCTCGTTTCCACCTCGTTTCCCGTGTAGTTGATCGCGAATCTTAGTTTGGCAAACTCTCCATGGTTCCGACTCTTTGAACATGTCATCATCACCGGCACAGCCAATTTTTGAGCCCATTTCACGGGATCTCATCGACCCCGTATATCCAGACAATCCCACAAAATCATCTATTGAAAAACACAGGCCTATTCGGCGGGACCTGGAAGCTCTCAAACCGGAAGAATTCGACCCTCGCGTCCCATATGGATGGGGATTCTTCATTTACCGTGCCATCTTCGGCGACGGGACCGATGCCCGTTTTTCTGAGGGACTGAAACGCCTTGAGAAATGGCTTAGATGGGAGGCTAGGATCTCGCGTTACAACAGCGACGAAGAGGGAGGTAGCTGGGAGCACCACCCAGAATATATGCCAGCGGCTGGTGAACCTGATGTTACAGATGAAGTCGCAGCGCGAATGTGGAACGAGGTGGTCGAAGAATACCCAGACGCCCAGGAAATAATTACCGAGCCAGAAGGCAGCGAGGACTTCAGTCCCATTGGCCGAGACTTCGCCGCCAGAGTAGAGTCTTTCGACATCAACACCGGCCCGCAGGACGAAGAGGACCGCCGGAGAAACACGCGCTATGAGACTTGCTTGATAATTGACGGAAGAGTCCTTGATATGCTCGAGGGGCTTCCAGCAGACACCCCGCCAGTGGTGCCCCTTCCCGAATCAAGCCCTGAAAGCCAGGAAGCGGAACAGATTCTCCGCGACAATTGGGTATGGATCCTAGATCGAGAAACCGCCATCGACAGGGAGGAGGGGGATGTGCAAGAATTCCCTCCGTGGATCCGCATCCGACTGCATTCATTACGTTTCTTTTTCTTCCGCAGTGCTTTGGGCTACGTTACCACCGACTGGCAACGTTTGGTAGAAGAAGACAAGAACAACTGGGATACTGTGCGATGGTGGAATACAATAGCACCCATGTGTAATGAAATCAGACGGGCATCTCGTGCTGCATCTTCGAATGCAGTGGCTTTATTCTGAAGTGTGCAGTGGAGCATTATGAGAAAATAGTAGATAACCTCTTGAAATCATGGAAATCGATTATTTATTGGTTACTTACATTCTATTAATTTCATTAGTTTCTGTGAATTCTGTTATAACTATGTATCTAATGTTCTGGGATTGCTATAAAAACAAAGTATTCATATATCATCAAAGAATCCCTCGGTATTGACCTCTGCATTTTGAGCCTCGGTGCGTATGGAGGCACTGTAAGTCCTGATTTGAATTCCATCTGGAGTGTTAACATTACTCCATGTGGCGTCAATTGTATTTAACCACCGCGTTGCAAAAGTCCCAATTCGCGTATTGATTCTTGTCATCAGGCTCTTGAAATAGTTGTCGAAACTATCCACTGCTGCAACGGTTCTCCCTGTTCTCCCTTCATGAACGTCTTCAGCTCTTTTCAACTCTGTTCGGAAGTCCATTATGATTGTTGCCATATTACCGTGTACTGTTGGATGGTTGAGAAAGCTCATGACTGCCACAACCTGGAGAATTGCATCAGGATATTAGGCTCTTGAAATAAAGTCTGTCCAATATATGGTACTAGAGACACTTACATTACGAACACTGTTCAGTCCGATAGCTGCAGTTTCAGGATCTGTTGAGCTGGTCAAATCTCTCATCACCCGTTGATCAATAACGTTTCTCGTGTCGTCATCCCAAAGCTAAGAAGAGGGTTAGCATATCATTAATGTCAGGGGGGATGGGGGGTTTGGTTACAAGTTCCTTAAGACAGTTCAAGTCAGCATCTGCGAGAACGAAGCTGAAATCATTTGCTACGCTACCCAGAGCATTGAATAATCGGGCCTCCAATGTAGACAACAGCTGACCACCAGTCGGAGGTGGGAGAGGAGGATTGAAGTTAAAAGGTGCATTTGGGAGGGGCAAGGTAACCGTGAAAAATGAGGGATCTATAGGGCCGGCTGGGTTCGGGAGCGCCGTGACACCCGGCGCAGTAGCTAAAACGCCTTGGATTGCAGCTGTGTACCACATAGGTACCGTTTGCAGTTCAACGAGATGCTCGGCTACATTCTTGTTAGACCAGGCATCTTACAAAAGTTGTTCACTTGAAACTCAGGGCTCACTTACTAACTGTATTGGTCAAGGGATCCTTTCTCCTTTGGGCTACCTTATTCTCTACACGGAGGACGAAGTTTGTGCAGCCTGGGCCGGGGAAAAGGAAGACTTGTCCATAGATCTCGATGGTTCTTTCATTAAGGATGGACCAATCGTTTACTTGACGGTACTGGAGATTATTAGCCTCATGTTAGCGGAATAAAATAAAATGCCTTTTTGGTTATTTTTTGTTTGACTCACAGGTTGAGAAACAAGGTTTCTTCCGTATGTGGTTGCTCCCACACTTGTTGACCAAACAAATCTCCTGGTCGCAATTCGCTTTTCAAGAAATCCAGCATCAGGGTCGTCAGCTAAAGCCTTACAGTAGCCACCTTGCACCTGCGTCTGGCATAGCAATCCACTGGCCAAGGATAACGCGAATATGTTGTCATTCCACACCCTGAAGCCCATGTGGCAAAGAACATACAATGCCACATAGCGGTCTCCTCTCATATTGCGCATCTCGGGAACATCTCCACTAAACCATCTGCGAATGTTTGTAATGGTAAGAGCCGGGAATAGGGGAACTACTAGGCTCTCCCATAGGTCTTGCAGGCCAACAGAAGACGAGGCAGACTCCGCTATCTCGGCTATCAAGTCCTCCATGTCACTGACAACTTCCTCTGTGATGGTTGTTCTTTTGGAGAGACCGAGACCGCTTGGGACAATATCCCATGTGATTCCTTCTGTAAGATAAAGTAATTAGTTCTCATTCTCAAGCTTCTGCCTCTTTGGTGGTGTCGACGTACCTGTGTTGTTCGCCTGGCGCCTCAACCTGACCTTTGCCATATCATTCGCCGGGCAAGTCGGATCGGCCAGGTAACTTTTTAATGCAATGGTATATCTCTCTACATTTGGATCTGAGCGCTGGTAAATGGACCGAGAAGTTGTTTTGCAGCAGTAGGCTTGCTCGCCAACCCTGCATGAGGCAATCGCCGGATCCCATCCCATGGCAACACGCACAGTATCTGAAGGACAACCACTTTTACAATCGCGATCACCCGAAGGCCCGTTGCCGATATCGCGATACCACTGGCAGTCGGAATACTGCCAGTCCTGATCTGGCTCGTTGCAGCAGTAAGGCCGATTCTGGAATTTCGTCGTCCCGCCGCTCCAGCAGAAGGCTCCGCCAGTGCCTCCATACGAAGCCACTATGAGAGAGTTTCCGCCGCTGCATTGTGTGTCGCATTGAGGATAGTTGCCCCATGCACATTGTCCAGCCAGTTTCAGACTCTCAAACGACACCCGATGGGGCCCAACCCCAATAGTTTTCGAGCAGCACGCTGCTTGATAGCTCTTGTGAGTTATTCTGTTGTGACCCCCCTTCCTGCAGTACATGTTGTTGCTTCCAATCTCAACGTAGTCGGTGGGACAGGACGGTGAGCAGTCACCATTGTTGAAGCCATACCAACCGCACGTTGGCAGGCCGTCCTCGACAGGGCAACACAGATAATGAGAACCTTGGCCTTCACAACCCTGGTCGTCGATCATGATCTCGCCATTGCGCGCATCGGGATCGCTCCGTTGAATTGGGGACCACCCAGAAGGACAACCTTATGGCCGACTGGTCAGCAAACACTCGGCGAGAGCCAAACATAATATGAAGAAGAAAAGGGGCAAATATAAAAGAAATCCATGAAGTCATTTTGAGGCATGAGTGATTGAGTATAGAACACGTAAAAGACACAGGCAGATCGCCAAAGAGAGAAAGGGAGAGGGGTAAACACACCTTCGCCACAATTAGACCATTTGCACTGTGGATGGTTCTGAACACGCTCATACTGATGCACTCCGTTGTCGATTCCAATGTTGATTAGTGAGGTCGTGGATCTTTGAGCAAGTTTTCCCAACGCGGTTGAATAAGTCGCATTCTCGGTATCGTGGGATACGGCCCAGACCATGACACCTCCCAAGCTAAGAGAAGATCAGCCACTATCCAACCAGGAAACTGTAAAACCCATGCTCCAAAGGGTCTATTACTTTCAAAGAGGGCTCACCATTTAGATTTTGCGAAATTCAACTTCAGACCTAGTGTTTCCTCATCATCAAACGCCACCCACTGGTCAGTATTATACGTGAGAACTTTCACGGCTGCATCTTTATATAGAACAGGTGCGACATTTTGCGATTGCATGATGTCAGATATCTCGGAGTTGAAGACGATTCCAACTTCGTGGCTGCACATCCACGATTCTGAGCCGGATGCGTCTATGAAACACACAATGTTAGCAAAGGTTTTTCCTTTTGAAGCAAGGCTGATCACATACACCGACAACCAGGAGTTAGGCATTTGGGGTCAGCTGCTGTGAATCCACGGCCATAAAACGCCAGACCCATGTTCACTTTATCATAGGGGATATTATTCCGCCACAAAAGATCAAGTGCGTCTTTGATCTCAGTCAAGTTGGTGTGGGCATTCAGGTAAGGCCCTACCCATTTGTTTGGGATATCCCAAACACCGTGTAGGTCGTAGGACATCCTTTGGCAAATTGTCAGTTGATGGAAATAAATAGAGAGGGATGGGGGGCGTCTGATTCTAACTCACACGTTGAAAAAGTCGACAATTTTTGCCATCTTTTTAATATCAAAGTGCTGGAGGTACCCTGGGTGTTTTGTCAGTATAAATATTCGCAACGATGCATGCTAAAGATATTTGACAACGCACAGTATGAAGCTGGGATTGTGACGCTTAGCCCATCTCGGCCTCCGGTGGCTTTCAAAGATGATTTCAGGTTGGATAAGAATTTTGGGAAATTATTATAATCCGCTCCAATACCCCCACGGTCCGGGGCCTCTGGATATTCCCAGTCCAAGTCAACGCCATCAAAGTCATACGTAGACATGAAGCTAATCAGAGATTTGATGAATGCCTTTTGATTCTGCGGGTTATTGGCGATGTTTGAGAATGTGTTTCTGGTTGGTTGACCCTCATTGTTGAAAGTCCACCCTCCGATAGCAATAAATACTTTCAGATCAGGATCTCTCTTCTTTAGCCATGTGACTCGATCGTAAGTATCTTGTTGATCCTCTATCGTGGCCGGCAGCACTTCAAATGTCTTGGGATCTATTGTGGCAAAGGCATAGTTAAGATGCGTGTAAACACCCAGAGGGATCTTCTCTGGATTGAAAACATTGCACTTGCGTTGCATTGCCCAGCCCTCATAGTAGCCCACAACGCGCTCGAACTTGTGAAACGTAGTAGAACATGAAGGCTGAGTTACTTTTTTATCTCCACAAAATTCTTGCGTCAAACCACAGAAACCCTATTTGGAGCAGCAAACGTTGAGAGGGCATGTTGTATGGTTGACATAGGCGGCTCCGTAACCGCCAGGATCGCACTCCGCTTTCCTGTCACAGTTTGCAACGCAGATTTTTGAAGCACAATCTGGATGCCATATTAGTTAAGTTCTCTCATTCTCAGTACCAGGTGAATGAGAATGATATGACTTACAGTCTGGGCCAAGTCCACAAAATCCGAACTTGCTGCAGCATCCAGTCTTGCATGGATTGGAAGCACTACAACTCTGTGCCTGAACCACAACAATTGATGGGAGTAAAGACAGCAGGAACAGAGCCAACGTCTGAAATAACATCATGAATGGGCCTATGAGGCCAGAGGGGAAAACCACAAGCAAAGTCCGTGTTGGAGCGCCGAAATTTAGAACTCCTGAGACATCCAGTGTGCTCAGTACGTAGTACAATTAATTCCAGGGCTTATATATACATACAGATCATGTACCTGAATAGGAAGACCATCTTTTGCCTACCATGACTGTAGATGTACAGAATATAGAGACATGGGTATAAACTAAAAATCATGCTAGGATGGGCTTATGCTCCGTACGGAAATCAGCCGAACAGCTTGAAGAATTTTCATCACAATCTCCGGTATGGGTACTCCAACTGAAAACAGTATATATTGCGTGAAAAAGCTGCGTTCAACCAACAACAGGTTACGCCGGCTAAATATTTTATGTGTAAAAACCAATAAGTTCAGGGACTTGAGTCGTGTGCCAAGAAATCTTCAGCAGGCCCAGGCCTGATAACCCCTGTAGGACGGGAACTTTTGTTGCAGAATAGACTCAACCAACAACCAACAACCAACAACGCTAACCCGAGAAATGTCTGCCTATTAATCTTATTTTTAAACATAATGAATAACCCTATTTGCATACACGTAGTCATCTGCATGTATGCTCGTCCTATATTTATAGTCATTCTTCACGCTCTGCGAAGACAGACAAAGAGCTTAATGCTGAAGCATTTCATGATATGCACTCCTTTTGGACAGTTTAATCATGGCCTCAATTTCGTCATTGGTGGTTCGCTTCGCTATTTTTATCCATTTATTCTTGGCCATTGTGGTGGCCAGCCACAGTCACAACCACAATCACCAAAAACTCGCCAACACCTTTTCTCATGTCTCTCGAAAGGCTGAGAACAAAACGCTGAGTGATGTGGAAAAATTGGTGCAAGAGGCCATCAAGGCCGCAGCAATAAGAAACAAAGCTCGCCTTGAGTCACCTCATTTCAACAAAGATGAGTTTGCATCACCGTCGCGGGAACCTTCTCTTGCACCACCGCTGCGAATTGTCAATGAAACTTCAACCCTTTCTGCACGGGAAATATCACAACAAAATGTGTCTTCTTCTGCTTATACCATCCCACCAGAGGTCGTTGAGGCAGCAAGGATCATGGCCGAGAGTACTCCACAACAGCCGGCTGGTGACCACGCAGACATTGCAGCACGAATCAAGCAGAAGTACTCTCATAAGCTGAATGACACAAATGCTCCCAAGCATTTGGGTACTCCCGAAGGCCGACTAGGAGCCTGGGCGATGCCTGATTCTGTTGGAAACTCTTCAGAAGTCCTCAAACGGGATTCAAGCTACTGGATGTTGACTATGCCACAACTAGGATCCAATCCCTATGCTCCATCTGGCTACAAGGTTCGTCTGCACAATGGCGTGCCATTTTTGATTACACACCTGCTTATTTCCTATAGGTATGGAGGAATGTCAAAGACTTTGGGGCAAAGGGAGATGGTAAGACGGACGATACGGCTGCCATTAACGCTGCCATTTCCAGCGGCGGCAGATGCGGTCCAAATTGTGGCTCTAGCACTATTTTCCCTGCCGTTGTCTATTTCCCCCCAGGGACATATCTCATCAGCACACCAATCATTCAATATTACAATACCCAACTATTGGGTGATGTATGTATTCCCTCTCTTGTTTCCTATAAGAGATGTCAGGCTCATCTAACAATACTAGCCGATCTCGGTGCCAACGATCTTGGGTGCATCAAGCTTTGTTGGCTTAGGTATGATTACGAGTGATGTTTACATTGGAGACAATGAGGAGTGGTTAGTAATCTATCTTCCCCCCTCCATCGAAAACACGAGACAACTAATTAGTCAACTCAGGTACATCAACACGAATAATTTCCTAAGAAACATCAGAAATTTCATCATTGATGTCAGGAATACCAACCCGAGTGCATCTGTTTGCGGTGTTCACTGGCAGGTAAGTTTCAAATTCCCAAGTTTGTGTCTTTCGGTTTTCGGTTCGTAGAATATGGGGATCTAATCTTGAGTTTGTGACAGGTTGCGCAAGGAACATCAATCGAAAATGTCACATTTTATATGCTATTCAACTCAAACACACCAGGGAACACTCAGCAGGTATATTCACAGAACAATTATTTTCTCCTTGACTTACAGAAGCTAACTTGAGATGTCAGGGAATTTACATGGAGAATGGCTCAGGAGGTTTCCTCGCTGATCTCACATTCGTTGGAGGCAACTTTGGGTATGATTCCTTGACATTAGCTATATGTTGTATAAAGTAAACTTCACATGGCTGACCTCTGTAGGGCCTATATGGGTAACCAGCAGTTTACGACTAGTCACTTGATTTTTGTGCAATGCAATACTGCACTGCAGATCCACTGGGACTGGGCTTGGACAATGCAGGACTTTGTCATCGAAAGCTGCGCTACCGGACTTACTATTGTCGGCGGTGTAAGAGATTGCCCAATTATGCTCAAACGTCTCTAGATTGCGAATGTTTCTAACCATCGATAGGCTGGAGGTGCCCATAGTACTGGTCAGGGGGTTGGTTCGCTGGTGCTGGTTGACACAATAATCGCCAATACTCCCAATGGAATTGTGACATCTTTGGCTGCCGAAAATTCGACCTCATTCTTGCTTCAAAATGTTGGCTTCTTCAATGTTCAAAAAGCCGTACAAGACAACGTTCGCGGAACCACAATGCTTGCCGGTGGCAATCAAGTCCTCGTTGACAGCTGGGGCTTCGGTCAAATCAACAATGCCACTGGCCCGAGTAAATTTGTCAACGGGGCCAACATCCCAGCCATGACACGTCCAAGCAGCCTCCTCGGAGTAACAAACCAGAACATGAAGCCAAATCTCTTTACAAGGAGGAGGCCGACGTACTACAACGTACCAACTAATAAAGTCATGAACGTGAAGCAGCTCGGAGCCAAGGGCGACGGAGTCACAGACGATACAGCGGCGCTCAACGCTATCTTAGACGGCGCTGCCAACACATCATCAATTGTCTATTTCCCCCATGGAGTCTATGCCATAACAAGTACTCTTCATGTACCAGTAGGCTCCCGTATCATTGGTCAGGCTTGGTCCCAAATCATGGCCAGGGGATCATACTTTGGCGACGAGGCAAATCCTCGCGTAGCAGTTGAACTTGGCAAGCGCGGAGACGTTGGAATACTAGAAGTTCAAGACATGCTATTTACTGTGTCTGCAACTTCGGGGGCTACTGCGGGAGCAGTAATCGTCGAGTGGAATATTCGCCAGTCCACCACTGGCTCTGCTGGAATGTGGGGTAAGGCTGCATTGTGACGATGCCATTCCCAGATCCATAGAGAGGAGACTACCAGACCACTGACAATACTTCTTGCCTCAGATTCACATATTCGCGTGGGCGGTGCCAAAGGCAGCGGGTTGCAAGCAGAGCAATGCCCCAAAAAGACTGGCAAAGTGAACCCGAACTGTAAAGCGGCGTCTCTCCTTATGCACCTTACCGCAAACTCAACAGCATATCTGGAGAATGTTTGGATCTGGACCGCCGATCATGATATGGAGTAAGCAGATATGGTCTTTGGGCATTTCATTCCGCTACCCAATTGCTAATGCCAAAATTGTACAGCAAAGTCACACAGGACCAGATCGACGTTTACGCTGGGCGAGGTCTCCTGATTGAAAGCAAGCTTGCTTGGCTGTGGGGCACTGCCGTTGAGCACTGCGTGTTTTACCAATACCAGATGTCAGATGCTCAGAACATCCTTATGGGAATGATTCAAACAGAATCACCATATTATCAACCAGTCCCTCAAGCTCCCACACCATTTAAACCAGGGCTCTTTCCAAACGATCCAACCTTCAACAACTGTACTAGTGTCTCCTGCTATACATCATGGGCCGTTCGGATTGTCGACTCGTCTACAATTTACATGCTTGGAGCTGGGTTATACAGTTGGTTCAGCGATTACAGCAAGACATGTGTGGATACGAACAACTGCCAGCAGCGTGGGTTTGAGGTTGTCCAAAGCTACGATATCTGGATCTACAACCTCTGCACTAAGGCCATTGTAGAGATGATATCACCCTTGCTAGTCCCTGCGACTATGGCCGCTGATAATAAGAATGGATATCTGTCTTCTGTTCTTGCATGGCTCCAAGGCGCCCAGAAAGTCAGCGGTGGTCGTCATTTTACCGGATTCCAGATCTTCCGAGAGCAAGAGGTAGACTCGATGAGCATACCATATCCCCAGACCTGTCGCACTGCCCTAACACAAACCGTCGAATGTGACGACTATGTTGAAGGCTATGCTAGCCTGGGCTATCCAGGATCTTTTGGTAATAAAACACTGGCCGATTCTGTGTGTGATCCTATATGCGACAAGAGTCTTAAGAGCTGGTTCGACAATGTACAAGAGAACTGTGCTGGGTTTACTGATGAGGACAATATCCCGCTCACGCTGCTTGGTGGACGCATGTGGGCAAATCTGAATGCCACTTGTCTAAAAGACCCAAATTCGCCTAATTTCTCAGGATACTGTGTTGGTAAGAGGATATGCAAGACACCAGTTCATAGATCATGCTGCTGACAGAATTTAGATACAATCGACGGATTCTCTCGAGTTGCAACTATTCAAGACATGCCTGTGAACGAGGTGTGTTCGTACTGCTTCATGGGAATCAGAGCGATAATGCAAACCTCAGCCTACTCAGCTTATGATAAGGTTTATAAAGCTGAGCTTGATTATATTAACAGCAAGTGCCGAAAGATTTACCACACTGATATTAAGCCCTCACTGTTTCCTCCACCTCTGGATACCCCTTGTCCTGCCGAACAGGTGTATGTCACAAAACAGGGGGACAGTTGCGACAGTATTGCCTTACAGCATTCGGTATCATCGGCAGCAATATTCATGGCCAACAATCTCAACATCACCAATTGCAGCAGCATTCCATCGAATATAACACTATGTCTTCCTTCTTCATGTGGCTCTACCTATGTTATCCAGCAAAACGATACTTGTACAAGTATCGAACGCAGCCACCTCCACACATTGAACACTACAAGTGGCGACGTTCGCAAGTATAATCCTTGGGTTAATCAGGACTGCATGAACCTCTGGAATGCAAGCGATATAGCTTACGGTCACGTCATATGCCTATCTCCACAGAATGGGCAGCATTTATTAAACGCTTCCAGTGAGGCACCAAAGAACAAACAAATTGGATATGCCTACACATTACCTATTGCACCTCCAACAAATGCCACAATTGCAAAGGGGACAACTGACAGATGTGGAGCGTGGTATACTGCAGTGCAAGATGATATATGTGTGGCTATAACTCTCAGAGGGCCAACTACCATTAATATTTTTTTCTCTGTGAACCCATCACTCGGAACTAATACATCACAATGTGATAGTAAGTTAGTGGTTGGTACTACATACTGTTTACTGCCAGTTTACAATTGGGATTACTATTAGAAATAACTTTAATATATCTTATATTAAACTAATTCCCATTCGACTAGTTCAGCTTGTGCTTTACTTCGCCTAGCTTCGGTCTTTCCTTCTTTAGAGCTTCCGATTGCAGGTCTATAATCTTATTGATTGTGGATTTGGTTGTTCGTTTAACTATGTTGCTGTATATTCGTTACGATCCAGTTGCGGCTATTATCTTTTGCAAGGGTTGTCTCTTTTAATTCTGAGCGGAGTAAAAAGAAGGGTGCATTGTCTTATTATGCAGTCTTTTGATCTTAAAAGCGTTTTATACATAATTTATTTTTAGATAGGATTATCGCTGACTTTTATAACCTAACGGAAGAATATTTATTTAGTTTAGTTAAATTATTAAACTATAAATTGCAGGCTTAAAATATAATTTTATATTTATTAAATAGTTACATTATATTTAAACTTTATTATTTAGGGCGTTTTATATATATATTTTAAGTTTAGTTTTAAACTTTAATTAATTATACTTTATGGCCTATATTTCAATGTTTAATAAAGTAAGCTATAGTTTATTAAGTTTAGCTATAGATTAATTTTATATTTATACTAAAGGCTAGGATATAGGATTTTCTTACTTAGCTATTATAGATTTATTAATTATCTTAGTAATAAATATAACCTTTATATTATTATTTTATACCCTAAAGCCTATTTATACCTTTCCTCTCCTCTCCCAATTCCCACCCACTACTGCTACCACCTTTACATACCAGTAAGCAAAAGAAGGTGCCCAGGTGTAAAACCTAGGAAAATAGAAAAGCTACGAAATCATATATCATATGTTTACTATACATATATATATATATATACTCTATATAATTTACCTACCCTATAGCTACTATAAAAATACTTTAAGCTTACCCTGTACCTACCCTGTACCTACCCTACACTTACCCTATAACCGAGCCCAAAAACACCCGGGGCCACGCCCGAGGTAAGGGGGCCGGGCCCGGCAGCAAGGCCAAGGACTGGAGGGGG